CATCGTCGTCGTAGTTCTGCGCGTCAGGTTGCCTACCCAAGCTAATCACGGGGTAGTAAGTTAGGTGGCCTAAATACATTAAATCAAGGAGCAAAAATCTGTTCTGTCTTATTGGTCTCGACAATCGGTTGAGTGGTCCTTCGGATAACCCAGACATTTGGGCACGTACAATAATAATATACGTTATATGTGTAACTTAGACAGTTTACTCTCAATGATATATGTCACTTTTGAAAATAATATGCAATAGCTCTAGCTTTTATGTTAGAAGTCATAAGTTTCACCAACAAATTAAAAGTTTTTGTGAATTTATAATTATATTATTATAAGGATGTACATTATTAAATCATCATAATGTGAATTCATATTTTAATTTACCTTTTCAATTGCATTGCTATTACGCATCATCAAAAACATACTAAATAGTTCATGAGCTTCCAAATTTCTCGCTCGATCCTAAAATTAATGAATAAAATAGTGAATAAAAACAATTAAATTAGAAAAGAAGATTGGAGGGTCAAGTAAGACAGAAATATATAGATTTTAGGTATAATGATATATTTTTATGCCTTGTTTTTTTATGACGCAAAACGCTAAATTATCAGATCCATTATAAATATATAAATTCTACCAATAGAAAATGTTGTTGTATCAAATTCTATTATTTTATATACTATAAGATATTTCTATAGTATAATTAAATATAAAACACAGGATAATTAACTATGACAGGCCATGCATGATGTGAGATGATGCAATGTATAAATATACATTATACATGTTCATTAGGTATACACACACAGCACATGCGACACATAAATAATACTTATATTTACACGCCCTCTCTATTTTAATATACCAATTTTAAGTTCAAAACAATTGTATTTTTTTTTATCTTCTAGACAAAGACCACCCTAAAAGATTGGAATGAATGGGAACATCAACGAGTTGATACGAAGACATAAGACTGTGGCCATTTTTAGTATTTACATATCTTATAATTTTTATTGTCAATTAAATATTTGGCTTGTATTTCATGTACGGCAGTTCTGTCACAAAAAAAAAAAAACAATCGCACGCAACTCTGCACTGTCACAAAAAATGCGAGCTCGTATTTCGTAAATACTGGTCTATCTACTCAGTGATTCAATTTGCCACAGGAAAACACTACTAAGTGTTTATATCTATAATTAGGATATCGAATGGACTACAAGGCCTAATTTACAATACTACAATAATAATACCTTACATGACACAATTGACAACATTACCATAAAAGTATCAGCATAATTATAGTCGGTGACTAATATTCTATTGAGATAACAATGTTGTCAGCAGCAGTACTATATAGTACTTAAATTGTTATATATACTTCATATAATGTTATCAAAATAATAATAAAATTATGAATTTAACAAATTTGTATTCAAATGAAACGGTTTGAAATACATTTTTTCATAAAAAATATTAAGAACCTAATACTTGACTACTTATTCTATAGTTTCGTTTATCAGTGATTTAGTAATAGGTATGTTATTAAAATATGTGAATGAATTCCGATTATTATTTTTTTTTATTTATTTATTTATTAGCCATTAAGATTTCTAAAACAAATTGAATATTAAATATATGAATATCAAAATGGGTTTACCTCTGCAGTAACGACTACATTGTCAATAGCACTTTTTATAAATGAGTACATTTGATTATAATATACACGATTTGGCGTATTCATAACAATATATAACCGATAAAGTAGAATGTTTAATTCTATCTTATTAATGTATGGACAATCTGAATTTCTCAGAGAATGTAGTTCATTAAAAACAATTGATTGTTCTGATGTTGTTGCACTCGTATATAAATTACTAAAATGCCAACCACCAGGCCATACAAGAACTTCAAAACTGTTATTGGCTAATATAATCTGGAAATAAAAATGTATTGATTAATTATGTATGCTTGATTATAATAAATGCACATAAATACATTTTATCTTAGAATTCTCCGAGATTCTAAGTGTTTATAAATACATTGAAGTATTATAGTTTAATATGAGTAGTTATAACAACTCATTTTACTACATACATTTATTTAATTATTTAAGACCTCTAATAACTATGTTGTTATAGCTTTAAAAACAGTAACGAAGTTGAGTTAACATGTGACTCTTACTAATTTAAAAAAAGAAGAAAATTAAATCTTTTAACATAAAACTTAACTTACATTTGTCTACATTACTTAACTTAACGATTTAAAAAAAAATAGAAAACTTGCATAGTCTTGTAAAATTAATCCACCTCCATAAATTGTTTGTTAATAACGTTTTACATTCAAAATAACTGCTGAAGTCATTATAGTTATTGTGAAGAAACTAAATGTATAGCTATATGTACATGATTTAGAATTTAACATTGCCGGTTTTGTGGCATTTTTAATAAATTTACGATAATATGAATGTTAATAACGTTATTTATGTTATAAGAACAAAATGCTTTCTATGACGAGCTGGATAGAGTATATTATGATGGTCTATTTTCGTGGAAGTATTGACAGCGAATGGAGTAAAAGTTGGAATTGACGAGCAACTGAAACTGGCCGTCTAAGCAGATGATCCAGTAATAATGGCAGAAAATGAAGCTAGTCTAAAGGATACTATACGAAATTTAATGGAAAATCGAAAGAGAATCAGGTTAACAATAAACGAGGATAAGACAAATTACATGGTCGTAACTGGAAATAACCATAGTGCGGGGCACTTGGATATTGGGGACAATAAATTCCAAACAGTAGATAATTTCAAATACCTAGGAGTGGACATAAAAACTAACTCTTTACCAAGTGCTAGTGAGACCCGCAGCTTTGTATGCATGTGAGGCTTGGACCACAACAAAATCGGATGAACTTCAACTGGCCACCTTCAAATAGAAGATATTAAGGAGAATCTATGGAAAAAAATTAACAATGAAGGAGAATACAAAATGAGGATAAATCAGGAAAAACATAACCTATACGGATAAGCGGATATAAACGGAATATTAAAAAGTAGTAGACTGAGCTGGGCTGGTCCTTGTGGTGATCGTAGTGGCAAATTGGACAGGTCACAAAATGGAAGCCATACACAAAAAGTCCTAGAGAACGTCCTAGAAGAAGATGGAAGGAAAGAGTAGTCAAGGATCTGAAAAAACTTGGAATAGAGAATGGGGAAGAACTGACAAGAGACGGAGACCCGTGGAGGCGAGCGGTTGCTGCAGAAATGGGTCTTAATGGCCTGTAAATGACTTGGAGAAGAAGATTTTTATACTAACATACAGGTATTAGATTTAAAAAAAAATAACTATAATTTCCAACTCTAAGACAGATAAAATATTATTTTTGAGTTTCCTTGTATCATGTATAAACTTGGCTTCTAAACTATGAAGTCGGCTTTGGTGTTATTATTCATCAATACAATTGTTTCTTAAATTGCATTATTACTGCTGTAACCTACAGTCGCATTATTGACGTGGAAGTCACGGGACCACTGTTGAGTTATTTGAATAAGTATTTAAATATAATACTTAAGATTTTTATTTTTAATGTTTCTATGGAATGTCATGATAATTGATCGAATCAAACTGTTTAAAAAGTAAGTGTTTGCCATAACTTATTATTAACTACCTAGTTACCTACATAATTTAATTGTTGTATCTAATTTATTACGTCATGTTGGATTTGGTAAGATGCAAGGTCAAATTATTATGCAGTATTCCAAATAACATGAAATAGGTATCAACATTTTAATTTGTATCAATAACGTTTTGAAATTAATTACTTTGGCATCCCGTTTATACTTCAGATACCTTAAGTGATCATCGTCCTTTATTTCTTCAAGGTCTAGCAATGATTTGAAACACATGCCTGCTAGTTCTATATAATGTTTTAATTCTTTTGGATAATGTTCATCACTGTTACAAAGTGCTCCGTTCAATTCAGCTAACCACTTATATGCTATAAACATGTCACGCATTTTGTCTTTAGTTGATGAATATTTTAAATTGTATACTTTAGCCATTATTGCAAGTTTTTTTGTTTTGTAGTCTGTATTAATAATATCGTCGGTATCAATTATTTCGTCATCTATACTTGTATCATTTTGTATTGGTTCACTATTCCTGCCTCTTTTTTCCGTTTGGCCTTTGATGAAATGTTTCAGTATTTTGATTGCTTAGAAATAAAAATAAAAATAAAATACTATGTTTCAAAGTAATATTGAAGTATCGTAAATTCATCAAATTAGTTTAATTAAACTTATTTTGCACATTTTATTAATAATTTTGGATGTCTTACTTATACATTTCAAAAATACTTTGTTGGAGCCAAGTCAATGAAGTCATTATGACCCTGTGTAGAAATTCGAAGCTACTTCACAGATGAGTAAAGACAATTTACCATTTAGAATGCATATCAATCATTGGCGTAGACAATAATTTTTATTGAAGTGTGGGGGGGGGGTATATGTATTCATTATTTTTAAGGCGCACAGAAGGTAAATGCTCTTGCTCTAATATTATATAAAAAAAGTTTGTAAGTTCGTACTTATCTGCCGTTCAGTAAGTGTCCCGAAGTTACACTTATGTATTTTTTTCAAATTATCAAAAATATATTATAGACAATTACTAATTGTCATACTTTAAGTGATGTAGATGGTTTGTAGAATAAATTGTTCATAATATATAAATAGTATACATTATCATGTATGTTTGTTTTTTCAAATTATTTTCATGGTTATAACGCTGGGATTTCGATACACTTTGAATTGTTTTTCGAAGTGCCGTGATGATCGTTTTACAACATAAACTCTTCATGTATATTGGAAACAGAATGTTTTTAAAGGTTAAGAAATGTTGTATTATTTTGTTCTAATCTCTTAGAGCATAAATTCAAAAAGTGGTGTATATCGACCCCCTGTGGTCGATTCTGACCTGTAAGTGGTCTATATCAACAAAAATTAAAACTGGGGTGCATCATGTGTAAATAAGGGTCCACAAGAGTTATAAGTCGAGACATTTTTACTAATAAATTGTATAATATATATATTGAAGCCATTGAAGAGGTCTTAAAAACTGTTTTACACAGACCTGCATATGATATACTGAAAAAAATTCCTTAAAGCAACAATACACTTCAAAGACGCATTGATGAAATGAGTCACGATGTTTAAAGTTATTTGTGTAATTATTTGCAAACAATCTATTTCTCCCAACAACTAGATGAGTCAACTATGCCTGGTAATGAAGCACTATTATTAGCATATGCTCGTTTTGTTATGGATCAAGAAATCCATGAAGAACTGCTCTTCGCAAAAACGTTGACTACAGACACAAAAGACGAATCAATATTTAATGTTTTGAAAGATTATTTCACGGAAATTGCGATTCCTTTAACAAGTATAATATCAGCAGCAACAGATGGAGCACCTTTCAAGGTTGGGCGTTATCGTGGTTTTCTAAATCATTTAAAACGATATGTATCCGAGTTGTTTGCAGTACACTGCGTCATCCATCGACAACATTTAGTTGCTAAAAATTAAGTACCAGATTACATCAATCTCTTCAATTAATCATAAACGCAGTAAACAAAATTCAGAGTAACGCAATGAATTCTAGATTATTTGCACAGTCATGTGAAGAAAATGACTAAAACTTTCATCGATTACTCCTTCACACCGAAGTAAGGTGGCTATCGAAAGGATTATGTTTGATAAAATTTTTTCACTTTTTGACACTGTTTTAGAGTTTTTGGGTGATAATGATCCCGTATTAAAAGAAAATTTGATCCAAAGGAAGCAAGACATTGCTTATTTAACAGTTCTCACTGGTGATATGAATATTAACATAATTGGTATAAAAGAAAATAATAACGGTTATTTAAATTTGCTTTCGGAAAATCAATATGTCTCTTTTATTAATGTTTACACAAGATTACCTATTGGTTTTAATCATGCGTGTTTAGACCATATATTCATTAATGGGAACGATTACCTAATGACTAAAATTAATGCCGGTGTCATTTTAACTGATATCACT